CCCTGATGTGGCAGCCATTGATAGGACTTACCGTTCGTTACAATCTTGATATCCGTCAGAAAACCATGAAATCCCGGCGCCGGGATGTCGACGATGACAGAATCTACACGGCTTTCGAGGCTTGCAACAATCTTTTCCAGTTCCGTCGAATACCTTTCGGTCGTATGTTGTATGTTCCACTTTGCAGTTTTTCGGTGATCGAAACTGTAGTAGCTGGAACCAATGTGCCTACGGCACAAGGTTTAAAGCTGATAAATTGACTGAATTGAATTGCGCAAATGGAGGCAATACCTACTCGGGACCCATTTCAAGATTGTAAATGGTCAGCGGTCCGTTGCGTTCAAGTATTCAACACAACCAAAAGGTTAAATAAAAAAAGACAAAGTCCAATGATGGTGGATGGAATTATCGTTTTTTTTTTCCTTTGACTTAACCCCGCATATCAGGCATAGAAAACAAACCTGCTGACACGCTCTCTTGGAGTGTATGTGCGAACAGTTCATCTCAGCTAGATCTGAAACGCTTACACGCAGCTCTATGCTATTCTGGAGCAACACGCATTTCGTTCGTGCCAAAAATCTGTCATTCTCTCTAGACGACACCCGATTTGTCATTATGCAGTGTCTGGCGGCACGCTCACCAAAACCACACAAACGTTTATACGTTTAAGCATTGACTTCAAGGGACTACTACCTTCGACGACTCGAAACGAATACCTACTGACGGACGTAGACGAGTATTCCCGTTCGCCTATGCTTGTCCAGAAATAAATTAGTCTACGGTGAAGTCATGCTTTGTGTCAATGTTCGCTACCATTTATCTGTCCAGTTTCGTGCATTCGGATCGCGGCTCATCATTTCGGATGAGATCAAGCGATTCCTTTACGTGAAAGGCGTTGCCACCAGTCGGACTACTCCACATAACCCAGGGGGGGCCGGTCAGGTGGAAGGATTAAATGGAACTTTGTGGAAAGCTATTACGCTTTCATTACGATCAAAAGTTCTTCGAATCAGCCATTGGGAAACCGTTTTACAAGACAACCTCCATTCGATTCGTCCTTTGTTGTGCATCGCCACGAATGCCACTCCACGCGAGCGAATGTTTCATCACAATCGAAAATCCACCGTCGGTACATCGTTGCCGCGTTGGTTGCCAGGACCAATTCTGATGCGGCGAAATATACGATCTTCGAAGGCCCCATGATCGAACAAGCTGAGCTCCTGGAGTGTAACCCTGAGTACGCATGAGACACCCTAACGGCATGGGAGGAACGGTCTCCATACGTGACCTGGCGCCTTCCGGACATTTTGGATGTGCTTCAGCATCCTGATTGTTAGGACGGTCAGGTCATAATGAACAATTCTGCATTTTGTAATGTTCCACTGAGATTTCATTTTCTCTCTCTTGTAGCCAACTGAGCCGCAACGCTTTTTCTTCCATTAGTTCATCTGGAATGTAGCCGATCTTAATCTGGTGTACTCTGTCTTCTGCCAGCATGAGAGATTAAATTTCCTCAAGCTCCTAAATCACCCAGCTAGCACACAGACACAACAGGTGTATTGTAGCCATGCCACCTGAAGAAATCACGGGGGCTGGGATACTGCCAGGTTGCCCAAGCCCAGACAGGGGAAGTCGAGAGGCAGAGGTCGGGTTCGAAACACGCACCCTCCGGTCAATGAATTCGCGCCCTACCCACTGAGCCATCTCGCCCGAAAGTGAGGTCAGTCAGACAATCTAGATGGGAGTTAACTACATGAGCGCCAATGACAGGATAACTGCTATACAGTTCAGTGTCACCAGTCAAGTACAGGAAAGGTCACATGGACCATATCCTGGAAGTCGAACAGCAGCCAAACTTTTTTTGACATCATTTCTCTCAGCCATGTCAAATCCTGTCCACTTCTACGTGGCATTGCAGCGAGGCATCCTAGGGGTGTTACAGCTGGACGACCAGTAATTCACTTAATACGTTGATTATTTCACCAAGAGCCCGTTCCCTCGTCGCGTCGTTGCAAACTCACTAGCTCCAGCCGATTGCTTCCAGAGTTCCGAAACATCAGTGGTTAAAGACCTGAAGATATCCCAGATTCTCCGCTGGATGGTCACGTGCCAGCTGTGCAACAACATAGCCCGCAGTGTTCCGATAAGCACGTTCTTTGAGACTCAATAACATGACGTTTTGACGCCACAAGTCGCGCAAATTAAGTTTCCTGCGTTAACTTCGCCATCGTTAATACGACTTTCGAGAGATCTATAACGTCACTCCTTGGATTCTCAGGCCGTATGTAAAAAAAAGTCCAACTGTAATAGCCTAGCGGTGCCTAGCTGCCATGTGCCCCGGAGGAGATTGCCAAAACCTAGACAGAGGAAGTCGAGATACAGAGTCGGGTTCGGAAAACGGACCTTCCGGTCAGTAAATTCGCGCTCTAACCACTGAACCATCTCGCCCCCGTACGTCCCGAAGTCTGGCTGCACTTTTTCGGCTAAGAGCACATTGATGACCTTGATCAGCATTTCTAGTATTACTCCCGCTTACTGCACATTTCAAAAACCATAATTGTCAACTGCATACTCCAGGTCGATATGGTTCTCGCTCGGAAAAATCAGCGGGGTTTTGGAAACCCAGTGTTCGCTTCAGTAGTTTGTCAATGACGGAGATAGACAAAAGTGGAGAGTGGGCATCCTTTTCGGACAGTCCCTCATACAGAGCCCCTCTCATGCGCTCACTTCTGAGAATATAAAGTGCATTCTATTCACGAACTATCGAGGCATACGCTGTTACGAAAATGTGAAAGGCAAGAAACTTCCGGTGCAACCCGAACAACCTTATTCAACCACGGCATCTCTAATGGGACCATGGCTTTGCGGTAAGCCCAGTGATAGACTCCCGCTGATCGCTACTACAATTCAACTTGACGCATCATTCGACGCCATGCACAACTGAGGGTCCGTGTGAACCAGGAGTTCTAGTGGATCCAAAAAACCAAAAGAACGAAATAAAAACTGAAAATTCCAGCAGTTTGTTCCACCTGAGCGATTATCGGAATCCCCGCGTCTGCGAAACCATCGAGGATCAAAGTGGCTGTGACATTCAGCAAAAAACATTCGGACTGTTGGGGAGAATTCCAGCCGCAATTCAGTTGGCTGCCGCCAATTTTTGTCAACCTTTAACAGAGACATGGACTGTGGATACGGACCTCCCTTCAGCCTCCGAATAATCCGAATGAACATTTCCATTCAAACGTCACGGCGTTCCTGGACGCAACGACATCCTACTTGCTGTGTTCAGAGACAGCGACGAACTTCCAGCCAGTGCCTGTCTCGCCTATTCGCCTCTATCCGTAAGGTCGTCGCAGACAACTGGAATCACTCAACAAGTGCCCATTCTCAAAAAGGGTGCTTGGAGATAATATGGTAACTGCAGAGGCGTCAGCTTGACTCCTGTTGTAACAAGGCTTCTGGCGTCACCGGTTCTTTGCCGTCCAAAGGCGACATGCGGAACCTCGACCCCTGAACATCAAGCGTAATTTTGAACGAACAGAGGCCGCTTTGACCACATTTTCACACTCTGTCAGAGCAGTGTCACACGTAGGGCCGACTAAGGTTTTGTTCCTTGGCTCCAAGGGTGCGTTTGACTCTGTCGACCGGTCAGTACCGTCTACCACAGTTGCTTAACAGGATACCCAAAATTTTTGTGACGAAGTTGGGTCTACATCCATATAATTTCACCGTTTAGTGCATGGTAAGCACTTTAGAAGCTTCCCTGCAAGTGTTATCTAGAAAGGACGTCGACTCACTACGTTCCTGTCCAACTTCGTCATTGAAATAATGAAGCAAATTGTGCAAAGTCCCCGAAACCCCACTGTTTAAATCACTGCTGAAGTGCGCAGAGAAAATCGCCCTCACCTTTGAAGATGAAGGCTAAGCACAACCTCTGTTGAATAAGCTGACCATCATCACGCTACCCTCCGACATGTTCTTTGCACCTACAAAGTGCAAGGACGTTGTCAGTCCAGGAATCCCGGAGACCCGAATCATGTTCGTTAATTTGAGATAAACAGTGTCAAAGAGGGCATCACACAACCGGGTCTCTGCATTGTTGTGTGGTTGAGGTAGCTCAGTGGTAGATGCCCCAGCTTTAAGACCGAAAGGTCCGTGGTTCGAACCCAATCTCAGCAACCTGGCAGGATCCAAGCCCTCGTGCCTCCTCCCGTTGTCACGACAGCTAGGCATCAAAAGGGTGCCTAACGATGGTTGCGAGAAGATCCGAAGCGTCTTCAAGTTTTTAACCACCGATGGCTCAGAAGCGTTGCTATTGTCTTGTGGCGTCAACGAACTGGCAGCGAGGTAATTAGAAAAGGGGTAGTTGGTTGTCAAGCAAGTACTTCAAACGCGAGAAACATCGTCCCATCCAATACGCTGGCTGCGTATACTGGAACATCATCTGCCGAGACGAGTATTCTCCTTGCCTACTTCGGAATGGCGCGTACGAGGTAAACGTGTGGCTTGGCAGAATAGCGTGAAAGAGATTACGAAAAGTTCGTATGTTTATGGTGAGGTCCGCCTTCCAGGATGGGGTTCTTGGCTGAAGGCGTTCCGAGAAATGGTGTCTAATTGGCGACAATGTTGTTCGTGTCGTCAGCTTCTTCCCAGATTTTCTGATTGAAATGTAGGCACCGCCATTGTTTCCACTTTGTATCAAACATAATTAAGTAAACTGTGTTCGTCCGGCAGTGAAGAGACAGGGTAGTCAATTCACTCACAGTACTTGCGTCTTGGAATCCTTTTTTGGCAGCGGCTGGACGCCAGGTACCTAGGAATACCTGTGGAAGACTAGGACCAGGTCCTTCCCTCATCCCCAAATTTCGCGTTTTCTCTCACTTTAAGGCTGTAGATATATTTGTGGTTATACGGCAGTGAAGGATCACTGTTAACATTGATTTTTCCGTCTCTGATGATGATGACCCCTAAGCTCGTTGCGCTGAATACACGGCCCAAGCATGGAGCCTATGCGCGATGGTGCTGGGGTTCTGGAAAAGTCTCGTCATCCAGTTACTCCCAGAGCTTCGGAACGCCCCACAGCGCACCTCGAACTGTGGTCCATGGGTTGTGGGGCATCCTGCAAAATGCTGACGACACAAAACCAGCATCAGAGTCAGTTACTGACTCTGACTGACTCAGACACTCGTACCGAAAACCCTTACTCCAAACCACCGGTTGTGTTCGGATGATAAGGGGGCACATATACGTACGAGATGATTGCTTTCAACGGGAACACTGGGACCGCCAAAGTCCAACTACAGAACTACGCATCTCATAGGACGTGAAGCTCACACAATATTGAGACCCACACCCTGTCGAGCAGCCGTGTCACAGGCTTAACTACATTACGACGACAGCGTATGCTTCGTGTCTTACCGTCTGCTGTGGCACAGAAGATCAGCTACCGTTGGAACTAAATATGAACTACCCTGGTATTGATTCTGGTGATATTCGCCCAACAGGTTTTTCTACCAGATTATAGTATGCGGCTACTGTAACGCAACGTACTGCGAATGCCTTGTGAGAAACAGAGCCCTGCGTTCATAGGCCTTCGTAGATCAATGGTTCCGCTAATGGACCCACTAGCACACTACACATTCCGCTTTATACATGTGCACTGTAGAGAACAGGAAGGGGAACCTCATTCCAATCCCCCAATGCCATGGACATCAATCGCGGAACTGGAGCTTCGTAAGGGAGTATTTATGCAATTGTGAAAATCCGCACACATAACTATGTAAAGACGCCATTTGTCCAGCCTCAACTGGAATTTCATGTAAGTACGGACATTACACGACAATATCTCTCACATCGATCCTCACCATTGCCAGCCGCAAACTCCGCAGGACACCCGACCGCCGCCGCCGAAAGACAATGAGAATGGGCGCAGATAAACAACCCTTGAACTTGCAAGGATTTTCCAGTTTAACTGACAGATATTAGGTGTGACTGCGAGTCAGTACTAGCCGGTCACACCAAGTGACTTCCGAGAGATGGCATCAAGGGCTACACCTCAGAGCACTGACCAATAGGTGGATGACCGACCTTGGGCGGGACTTTTGATACGCTCGTCTGTTTGTCAGATATCCGTGCGGACCCTTAGAAGCACAACCCAAGTTTCTCCGGAACGATAGTTTGAACAAAAAACTCTGTAACGTAAAGTTTAAGCACTTAATGGTATTTATTCGAATCCTAAAATCTGCCCATTCGGCAGCCGTTTTCTTGGAAGATGTTTAAACGTACTCGATGTCCACTATGGACGCGGAGTACATATTTGAGTAGCTGCTAATAAATTCGCATGTAGCCTTCGCAAAGGCGTGGAAAATTTTTCGAAAAGACGGTTCATTTGTGTGTTTTCTTGTGAGTCGTATTTGGAAATAACCTAAGACGAAGCAAGATCCGGGCGGCCGAGGTTCTCACGGGACGACTGCGGATATCAGTCAGTTAGTAAGCACCGCGAATTAAGGAGACTTACGATCAACAACTGAGGAATCAGCAGGAGCAGAAAATGATAGCTGAAGCAACAACAAGTAAGCACCAAACGATTTACATACAGATACGTGCAGTCTATCAGTGCGAGTTGGCCGTATAGAGATAAGTGTGAAAAATAATCAACACGTTCAGGAGGTAAGGGACTGTCTTTGGTTGACGGTGCTATGCGGCGGCTCATGTTACGTGGCAAATCTGATTGCGACGGAAAAGCGGGCCAACCGGGTATTGAACTTGGATCCTCCGGACGGCAGGCGAACGCGCTACCAACTACACCGACCTGACGCACGGAGCAGCTGATTATTTTGTATTACCCATGTATCAGGCCTGCAAGATAGCCTTTGCTGAGCTTTATTTTAAGCGAACGAAACCGCGTAATCTGACATGTCGCGCGACACGAGCGGCTGCGCCGACGCCGACCGAAAGACAGTCCCTCACATTCCGAACGTACTGACTCCTGCCCCGTTACGGCCAATTCACACTGTCAGACTGCCCTATATGTGTGTCTGTACATCGTTTGGTACTTACTTGTTGTTGCCTCTGTAGAAATCCGTGCTTTGACAGTGACTACTTCCCGCTCCTGCTGATTGCGTCATTGTTGATTGTACGTTTGCTTAATTCATGGTGCTTACTAATCCGTTTGTCTGTAGAACCAGTTCCTGTCAGTCCTCAACATATCATCTGCTGCCCCACGTCTGTCTGCTCCTATTGACTACTGGCTACGAACTGCGTATAATCTAATAGTCGCAATCGTTCTGTGGGATCCATAACCGTCCGGATCTTACAAGCGCCATCCGTTTGCTCAGCTGGTGTAGTGGAAAAGACGTTCAGCGGTGGTCCGAGAAGTTCTGGGTGCGGCTCCCGGTCATCCGTTTTCCCATCGGAGTGGGCGCTCAAAAATGGTTAGAACTCAGACGAACTTACAAACAATGACGGGCGGGCAACAAAATACTGGATCGGTTACGGAGAAGGAAGCGGATCTTAAGTAGGAGCGAAGCGGGAAAAACAAGCCGCAGGGAAACGGAACGGCCTCATAACTAACGGATTCAAATCACACTGCTCATGGGTAATCAGAACATAAAGAAAATTACATTTGATTCACGGGCATCAACAGACAATTTGTACAATGACTACACCGTCCTTCATCGCGCAGCAACCCATCGAAACCCGTATTGGAAACGTCTTCTTTCGCTGTGACAGGCGTCCCACCAAACGAGGCCAAAGAATCCACCATAGCTGTTATGCTTATTTATGCTGGCCAGTACCCGCTATTTCGGGCCCAAGTCGAGGTTTCGTCTTCGCCGGTATACCGACCCATCAGTAGCGCCATTGGATAGATTTGTGGAAGTATGGACAGTGCTTTTAAGTTCTGGCACGAATTCAGCGAATTCGGACGGTCTTACGGGAGTATGCAATGGGAAATAATGTGGGTAAGTTGAAACTATGAACGAGCCATCAGTCCGAGTATGGCAGACGCGGTATTGTCATCGCGATGTCCTGCTTGGGTTTGTGGAAAGCCGTGTACATGAAAATCATGATTGAGTCATTTGGGGATTTGCCATGAAACCTTGTTTAGTTAAGTCCAGCGTGCGTCATGAATGTTCTTAGGTCCATCATAGGCGCCCGGTGGTTCACTGCGGCCATTCAAACGAGGAAGTAGGACAACCTGTCTACATCGAGGACACGAAACAGGAAGAAGTCCCAAAAGATCTACTGAAAATCACTATGATACGAGTCGGACTGTGGTCACAAACCCAAACTATTATAATGAGGCGACACCTCCGGACTTCAAAAACGGTAATCGATATTTAGGTGGAGACGATGGGTATTTGGTCAATGCAAACGGATGTGGGCATGTGTGATTATCAGGGAAGTGCAGTGGCTAAATTGAGCTCTACAAAGGTAGGTTGAAGCATGCTGGGACATAAGATCAGAGGAGAGCGTTAAGTGTCTGAGGGTGTCGCGTGCTCTCAAGATGAGGTGACCTCAGGGTGGCGCAGCTATAGCCTAAAGAAAAGCGTGAAGCCTTTGCAGAACGAGCTGCCAGATGAGCATCGTACCGCATGCATCAAGTGAGCCTCTAGCGTTTTCTGCTCTGCTACCATTGAATTCGTAGATTCATAAGAGGATTGCCCAGGGGATATGCTATATCCAGGACAAGCTCAGGCCAGCGGCACAGGCGTCCGGCAGATGTCGCCGCGGGGGTCCGTTTAAGTTCCCCCTCGGTACACAATGCGGAGTATGAGGTCCGGTATACGGTAAAAATATCTTTGGGGGAGAACATGCAGTTGAATTAAGACTTGTCAACTCTGCAGTCTTTCACATCGTCGGGGACAGGGAGTGTGGAAGGTGCATGCCTGGTACAGAAAGTTATGGAGAGATCTCCAAAACCTTCCACACACAAAGCGGTGTTCGTCAGAAGTTTCTACACCCTCCGTTTCTATTTTATTTTGTGATCGATGGGATAATAAGACGAACGCTGAAATGTCAACTGAACCCCTGTGTTCTTCTGATTAAAATCCCGTCGACCTGAAATATGCTGTGAAATCTATTCTCATCCTCGGAAAGGAGGAGAAGATCCAGTTGCTTTTGGATGAACTGATCAAAGTCATCCTTTGGTATGCACTTTGCGCCTATTTTCCATTCTCCATCACTTCGGAGATGCAGTCCCTGAAAAAGCCACATACAGTCCAATGAGAGGCGCAGGCATTTATGGAGCGTTTTACGTGCATTCGAAGTTGTATTAGTTCTAATTCTAGTGTGACACGAGGCCAATGCGTGAATCTGCAAGGCTCGGGACGCGTTCACTAATTTTAAACACCCATGGCGTCAAAGCCACGTCAAGAGAAGTTTGAGCGGAACTAAGACGTCTTCAGAGGTTCGACAACTGTTTTCTCCGAACCATAGCTCGTCAGGGTCGGTGTCAGCGAATCCGTGACTAGATGAGTAGAGTGCGGTTTCTCGGTTGTGCAACGAGGATCTCCATTGAAGAATGTATCCAGCACCAGAAATTTCATTGGTTAGACCGAAAAGATAAATAGCTGGGAAATAGGTGGATAGGCATGCAAGCCGCGTTGTGGGGGGTCAGGGTCAATCAACCACCTAGGGGACAAGAAGGGAGAAGCGGCACCGAGATGGTTTATGCTCCCTGGATGTAGGTTGAAGGATATTTGTTCCTGTGCAATGAGATGTAGCCTCCAGTTAGATTATCATCGTTACCTGTGACATCGGGATCCATCAGGTTTGGTTGTTTGAGAAATTTATATATTCGGATATTGTAGACATGATTGTGAAAATGAAGATGTGCTACAACGATTCGGCGTGAACAGTGAGTCGGATTAGGCTCAAACCTAGGTTCAAACGCTAGCTTGGAATATCGAGCGGCTTTCGGCGTGCTACGCAGAGACTTTTAATGTATAACCGGATGATGAAACTCACAAACGCAAGCAGGTTAGCTGACCGGTTCTCAGGAAAGAGCCCCTGTTTGGTGAGACTAATATTGCAGTCGAGTGTGGGCTGGTTACAGGTTATGATAAGGATGGCTAAGCTGTTGATTATATTAAGCCACCTAGTACCAGTGTGGAAACAGAAGTGTAATGCAGTCAAGATTTGGTGGTCTAATTCAGCGGATCTGATGCCAAGTACCCGACCCCGCTCACCAGATCTTCGCTGCGGCTGCATCCATGGTTGGACGTTTGAGGACGTTTGCGGTCCTTGGGTCCTATCATTCAAGTCTATACCACTTATTCTTGCGACTTACGCTTCGCTTTGGCTTTTACTTCGCTGCGTCAACGATATATAATAATAGTAATAATGTTTATTCTTAACTAATAAAGGGCCTTCCCTCAGGCATGATCGTACGGTTACAGACAGACTAAAGCGAAACTTGCGAGTACTAGGTATTGAGCGAAAAAAGGACACCGCCGCAGACAGTGGGCAATATCCAGTGTAGTCTTGCCCGCGACTAATCCGGAATGGGGAAGCAAACGCAGTTACCAGGAGTTTATCAAACTGAGACAAGATTAGCAAGATTGGCGAGCGTTTTACGTGCATTCGAAGTTGTATTAGTTCTAATTCTAGTGTGACACGAGGCCAATGCGTGAATCTGCAAGGCTCGGGACGCGTTCACTAATTTTAAACACCCATGGCGTCAAAGCCACGTCAAGAGAAGTTTGAGCGGAACTAAGACGTCTTCAGAGGTTCGACAACTGTTTTCTCCGAACCATAGCTCGTCAGGGTCGGTGTCAGCGAATCCGTGACTAGATGAGTAGAGTGCGGTTTCTCGGTTGTGCAACGAGGATCTCCATTGAAGAATGTATCCAGCACCAGAAATTTCATTGGTTAGACCGAAAAGATAAATAGCTGGGAAATAGGTGGATAGGCATGCAAGCCGCGTTGTGGGGGGTCAGGGTCAATCAACCACCTAGGG